ACCTGTGAAGGACAGAGTACTTTCCCACCTCAGAGGGGACTCTATGGTGGACATAACTATGGCAACAGGAAGTAATAGGAAGAAAGTAATGGATACTGAAGTGCTTCTGATGTAATGGAGAAAGTTTTAATAGTCTTGAGTATCTGGCAGATACAGCCCAACATCCTGAAATCAGGAAGGTGAGGGGATGGGAGGCATCAACTTTTGGCAGTGAATATAATTATCACAAGCACAAAACTAGACCTCTGATAGCTTCCCATCAAGACTGATATCCTGTCTGATCAAGACATACAAAGAGGAGTTTGGCTCAGTGGTAGTTAAATGGATGAAATGTGATGCCTTATAATACACAAGAACAGACTGACTTTAGATAAAAGGTTTGTAAAATAAAGCAGCATGTTATGCTTTTGTTTCTGAGTAAGAAAATCTGAGAAATTCATAATTAGGACCAGTTTCCTTTGGTGCTAGGATGGCATGAAGTTCATGGCTCCTGACAGCTGATTGCTGTTCCTGTGAGGAGGGTGAGCGTTGTAATAACCAGCATGTTGCACATCAGCCTTTTCCTTCTAAGACTCGGCTGCTGTTACTGATGAGTGGGATCAACAGCTTTCCAGTGGAGGCACAGGGGTGTTGCCTGCTCAGATCGATGCATTGCCATGATAGTAACCTCTTGGTTCCTTCTGTAGGGTTTCTCTCTTCAGCCATACTCCAGTGCTGACTCAGCTGTATGATTTTATAATCTTTTTCTTTAATGGTTTTGATGCTGTGGAGATATGCTGTATTTTCTGGGCTTCTCCCTTTTAAAACTCTTTGGAAACTCAATATACTTGACTGACTACACAAATAAAAAACTGAAATTCTGTCTCAGCTTCTTCCCCCCTCACTGCAGGGATCAATGTTCACTGTTAAAAAATAAATAGGAAGGCGGGAAGTGGAGGGATCTATTTCAGAACTATGTATTACTCCTGACTATCTGCAGGTTTTTATTATTGACCCACTGGTCCTATTTGGGTTACTTTTTTATAACACTTGTAAGTTAAGGGGATACAAAGTTCTTCCTCTACTGCCTTTTCAGCTGCATTTAAAAAAAATATCATAATTTCTAAATTCAGCCTTTGGGAAGGGATGGGAGAGGAGAAAAGGTAATAGAGTAGGGAGGAAGGCATGACATCAGAACCTCTGGACACAGTGAAGAAGATGAATCCTTCAAATTAAGATGCTTAGAAAAAGTGTGTTCTTAATCTTCATGATAATCACATACCACAATGACAGCATTTACAGAAATGTATGTAGAGACATACTGAATGTGTGTGTATATATATACACATATGTAAAAGATACTATATGTCTTTCTGTTTATTATTATATATATGAGCTCATGCATTTTTTACTCTGAGAAGGTAACTCCAAGTTGTCACTCTCTCTGGTGATAGGTTACATGTGTCTTTGTTCAAGGGTGTGCATGCTGCTTTATACCTTTGTGTGTGAGAGAAAATTGTTCTCAGATGTCAGAATTAAAATATTTTAACATAGTAATTAATGTTGGGTTTATGTTGCAACTTAATGTCCAACCCGTCACTGCTGTAGGTGACTAACCATTACCACAGAAGCCTAAAGGAATTGGTAGATAATCTTTGTATTTATAGTAAGCCTATCTTTATAACTGACTGTGGCTCTGTAGCGGGAAGTCAATGTTTCTGTGGCCATCATGTCTTGGAATACCACGAGGAGGAGGAGCAGGATTGCCTCCCCTTACCTGCTCGCTTAATGGTGATATAAAAGGATTTTTCTGTGGGACTGGCTGAACTCAGTGCCCAAGAAAGCACTTTCTTTTAAATGTTTTTATTTTTCTGTGGCTAAAAAAAATATTAAAATTATTACTCAAACTTACAGCTTCTGGTACCCCTTTTTCCAATATGCACCATTCCTTTGCAGCCACGTTGCAGTGTTCAGCACTCTGGGAAGAAGCTTGGATGAGCTGGTGCAGCAGAGGCTGCTGAGAGAGGGTTTTAGTTCAGAAACCTACTCTAAACTTACTGCATGCTCAGTTGGTGTTACTGCACATTCAGTCCAACCTTTGTCTGGTGACAGACTGGTTTGATTGCTGATCCTCCTCTGAATGCATTTTTAACTAGGTGTGGGAGAGAGGATTCACAGGCTAGGCACTAGTTAACAGGAAAAGAATAAATATTCAGCTTTCAAGAAAGAGAAACTGGGGACTCCTTTTGTGGAAGTTGTAATTGGATGATGATATTGGAGCACTTGCCCTGACTACAGAGATCCTTATCTGTGCAGGGCTCCTGTGAGGCTTAGGCACTGCTGGGAATTGGCTGCTCCGTACCTTCTGTTACACAGCACAAAGGGGAGGTTGCTGGAAGAGGGGAATGCAGCTCTGGGGACTGATCAAAGGAGAATGCTACAGGTTCTGGTCCTTGCTCACAGTGTCACTTCTTTACTTTATCTGGTAACTGTTCAGCTCTTTGCTTTTTGTGTTGAGAAGACAGCTTCACAGTGCTGTTATTTTTATCTGAATTCATGCTTCTTCAATACTTCTGGAAGTGACATCCGGGTCTCAGCTAGACCCATCCTGCTTGGGGAGGTGGCTTTCACCTGCAGACCTCACCACCACATATATTTTAACAGCTGAAATAGCAGTGAAAGTTGAAGACTGTTGAAGGAGCATTTTTTCTTTTTCTGTTGAGAAGACAGGGTCACAATGGCATCTGCATTTCATGCACTTCCAAGAGAGGCCCCTGAATACATCCCAGGGTTTGGGAAAGCGGAGGTGTGTGACATCTAATTCTTCCACTATTTCAAACCTCAGGTGAGGAGTACTGGAAGAACAGACTGCTTTGTCATTTCTTCATTTCAAATATGTGCGGTCACGTGGCAACTCAGGTCTTTGCTTAAGGACTATTTCCCTGAGACCTTTTATGCCTATTGAACTGCATTTAGAAAAAAAATATAATTCCTTAACCAATTCCTTACTGCATGCATTGAAAATACCAATGTGAATTTAAAAAATGCTTCAAAGCTGATGCAGCTATGCTGCTGTGAGCCTAAATTTACAGTGGTCAAAGCCTGCAGGTGGCCCCAGTTTTCTTCAGTCACTAAGTGTTCTCAGTCCTGTTTTCTGTTCTTGGCTCAGGGTTTGTACAGCTTTTGACATCTGCTTTAGTTTGATGCTTTTGCTGCTGTATGAGCTACCACGATACATCCTGTGGTTTTGTTGCTGTAACTCTCTACTTGCCTGGCTCCACAAAGAGCCGTGGGCTGGGTGGAGCATATTTAACACATGGGTGATAACTCGTCTCTGCCTTCAGCATGTCTCATTGGCTGGCTCAGTGACCTCTCCTGGCTCGAGAAGTGGGCAAAGCCTCTGGGGAGCAGGGCACAGACACCATTTCTAGTGGAGGCACAAGTGTTGGGCTTATGCTGTGCCTTGAGCTACTGTGAATATCCATGTAACAGCTGGGCCTGCATTTGTCACGCTGCAGTGGCTTGGAGTTATTTGAATGTTCTCCATGTTGATGTTTTTGCTGTTTCAGGGTTGATAAGGCTGTAAAAAAAATCCCAAGCAAAATTCAAGCAGCTGGTTTACAGCCTAGTAATGTGAGGAACTGCCTCTCTACGTGCTGCCCTCCAGGCTTTGCAATCACATGGACTGGAGCAGCATTTACCAGCCTGTGGGGTTTGGCACTGATCCTGCTCTGCCTCTGTTACACTCTGGGTGGGATGAGGGACTCCTCCTTTCCCCAGGCCTTGCAGGGACAGGCAGGCTGGGACTTGGAGCTCTGTGCTCTGGCCATGGTTCCCTCTGCAGTAGGCACATGCTTAGGGGCTATTTGTCAAGCAGCCACTTCTGCTCTGTGTCTGCAGTGAATAACCCCAACAACTGCTCAGTACTCACCTGAGTCTAAACAATCATGTAACTTCACAGTGAAAATGCAACTGCTGGTCTAGTTCTGCAGAACTGAAGTGCCTATGTATAGGGAAGGGAATTGTATGGTTGGGTGGAGGAAGGGGAATTGAGTTCTCAGGTGTGTGGGATCCAACCAAGAGTAATGATGTAGTGGTGTAGACTGGAGCAGGGAGGAAGGCACCTTTTGCCTTTCCAAGGATGGCCCGGGTGAAAAGCTGACACACAGTTCAGTTGCTGTTTTTCCAGTTGCACAGACTCTAGAATACCATATCAAAGAGAGGGAGAGGTGGGAAGGAGCAAGACAAGACATTGGGGTATTCCAGTGCACACAAGTGGATCTTACATGGAGATGTTCTATTCCCTTGAAAGAAGAATTCATGCATATGAGCCACAAGAGTGCAATGTGATCATTGCACATGTCAGTACTAATCCTGGGAAAGACTACAATTACTCCCTTAAAACCGGGAGCCGCTAACCACTATGTTCATTTGTTAACAGTGTAGGGACAGGGAAAAAATTCAGACCATGTGAAAACAGATCGATCTTATCAGCAAATACACTACAAATTCAAGCGTGGAAAATTCACTGGTTCAGCTCTTGAATCACATGAACTGGCATAGCTGTATTTTTTTCAGAGCAGTTGTACTGATTTATGTGGCATAGGGGATGTTAGTAGTTTAAAAATGTTTTCCAGCTTCAGACGGACTGGAAATTTAATTCAGCAACTGTCACTTTTTGGTTAGTTGCTATTGCCTCTGGACTACAGACTAATGTACCATAACCAAATGGCTCTTTTCTAGCTGTAGCTCCTGGAATGTGACCAAACAAAAGAGTTTTGTGGAAGTAATCTAGTAATACCAAAAAGCCATGAATCTAAGCCCAAGCTGCTAAGATAAGAAAATCTGGGGAAGACTGAGCATCTAAAAAAGACTTAAAGTAAAAACATGTAGATCGTAAGAATATTCTGTGATAACTAACGAGGTACCTGTGCTTCACACAGGTTAGACTTCTGTTTAAACAATGAGGTCTTTAATGTTTTACTGCAGTTACATATTAGACAAACTCACAAAAGTACCAAAATTAATGAAATTTTATTGGCAAAAATCAAGTTGAATGTGACCTATGTAATTCAACAGAAGTAAGCCTCAGTTTAGTTTATCAAAATACTTCAGTTTTCCAGCTGGATCTGGAATTATCTGTGCAAGAAAGAAAATGACAATGTTAGTCAAAAGCCATGAAAACACAGCAAACTATAAAGCCAAAACAGCACAGTATTTCATAGTAAGATAGTATGGCCAACTCACTAGCAGCACTGAATAATTTATCAGTTGACTTGGTACTAGATTACTGTTGATCTCTAAAGGTACTTCACGGCAGTAGCAGAGAGATTTAACTAATTGAGGCATGAGAGAGTGTGCAGCCTACCAAAGGAAGAATTTTGACAGCTTGCCCCAAAAGCAAGATATTTTAATAAATTAATGTCTGTAATCCGGAGTCTTACAATTTACTTACAGGTCTTCCCTTGGCCACCACACTCTCATGGCTTCCTCTGGTTTAATCTAATTAAATCAAACACATTTAGAAAGCATGACTACATCTTTGAGAAAGGCTTTTTGAACTACTCTGCTATTTAAATTATCTGCAACTTTTGCACAGAGGAGATGAAGAATGCTTACGTATTGTTTTAGATTTTTAAACTGGCAGTATTGGAGCTGTTAATCTCAGCACTGTAAGACTGTTTTTTAGAAAACATGTTAATGTCACGTTATTTAGATGATTCTAGTTATGGAGGGCAGAAGTTTTTGGTGCCAAAATATGAATGTTAGGCCAGCCAGCTCTCTTTTCATTTTACAGTCTTAATATCCAGCTTCCCCCACTACAACACTCCTCTGTTAGCTTGAAAAAATTGACTCCTAGCCTCCAGTCATCCTGGGAAGTTTTCACATCCAGCGAAGAAACATGGTTTAACATTCCACTATTTTTTACTTTCAAGTACAATGCTCACTAGCTGTGCTTAGAGGCTGCTGGGACCTGCTTTTTGCTGAGACAGCTCTTAAACAACAATGCTCTGTCATCAGCATTTGGTTCAGAAGGAAGCCACATGCTCAAATACATGACAGTGATCTCATCCCAACTAGGCAGCTCAGACCTCTAGTGAAAGTTTCATTATTCTGCTGAGGCTGCTCCAGGCCAGAGAACACAAACAAGTTCAATGGATGTTTATCTGAACACTGGCTCCTGTGCTTGCAGTCACATGGAGGTGAGGAATAACAGAGGAAGATGAACTGCACAGCAAAGCAGTGCTCTCTGCTGGAGCACTGGCAGTGGCACACTGGCTCTGGCAGATACTACAGCAGCCTGGGAACTTGTATCTTTCTTTTTTTGGGTAGTGCCTAGGATCTGCAATAAGAACCAAACAGCACCAGGAATTTATATGGACAAATAATCAAGCAGATAGAAAAAACTCAAGAGCTTCCAACTTCCCCTCATCACGTTGTTAACAGGAAAAAAAGTTCTTGATCACAAACTCTTTGCTGATCAAGAGAATTTTGCTCACACACTGGGAATTTGAAACAACTGGACCATGTCTAGTGTGAGGGAAATGAGATCCCCATGAAATGAATAGTAATCCAAAAGCTGTAACTGTAATAATGTGAGATTACTCATACCTTCTCATTGAAGGTCACAAAGATTTTGGATTTGGCTCTATGGGAAATAATAACTGAGTGTTTGTTAGCAGTAAATGCATGTAAATATAAACAGTGACTTACTGTTTCACTGCCAGGTTTCCAACCGGCAGGGCAAACTGGAAAAAAGAAGGACAAAGTTAGCTGAAGTGTTTTTGCACAGGCTGACTTTTGTGCACTTAATATTTTCTTTCTGATTCTGAAGTAAAACACCACACAAGTGTCACATTGAAACTCAAGTGTCTGAAACTCTTAAATGTGCAATGACACCACCCCCCACCTGAGAACTGTGGATCTCTGGATGGATAACTATGCCTTGGTTTAATTCTTCTGGCCTTCTAGACAAAGTACTGGCAAAGCAGTACCTGAGAATGAACACCTAGTTTCTAGGAGAAATAAGTTTCTTAATAAAATTCAGATGACTACAGAGGCCCACCCTTCTTTCTTTAAAACCAAAACCAGGGAAATTTTTTAAGCAAAGAGATCAGCTCAAAGATTCCACAAGAGATTTTGTCTGGAGCCTTGCTAAGGCCTAAAGGGGTTGTAGCACAAGTTTACCACACAGTGTGGCTGGGGGCCCTTGACCACCTGTACAGCTGCACGTTCTGGAGTGAAGCTCTTACCTGTTCAGAGCTCTCCCCCTGAGGCTTCAGCCCAATGAGTTATGCCATTTTACACTGCTTTAAGGCATTCTGACAGACAAAATGCCACCAATGCAATTAGGAATTGTGGAGAACTGTTTTCCCCATTCTGTGCAAAGAAGCCAATAAGACATCTAGGGAGTCTCCTCCCAGCATTCATGCAAAAGCTGGAAAAAATGTGGTACTCTGGAAACACACTGCAGATTAATATTCTGTAAGATGGCTTTGTAGCTAAATGAGGGTAAACTTCCTTAGTCAAATGTGTGTAGCCTAAATACCAGCATTTATCTTTTCAAATCTGTACAGCAAAGCATAATAATGATTTGTACCTTCACATAAAGATACTTTCAAATGCTCAGTGAAATTGAGTTGAATTGGAAATTAAGCTGCTGAACATGTGTATTCATATTTAAATAAATCTTCAAATAAATGAATGTGTTTATTTAAACACATTATTTAAAGAAATGTGAAAAGTTCATGCTGTGCTTGAACTGGAGGAATATGAAGTCTTGAGACAAAGTAATGATCTGAAGCCAGTGAAAGCTTCTTTGTTGGGGGAAGATGACCACATAGCCCTTGTAAAGAAAACACAAGTAATGCACTGTAACTCCCACAGTATCCGCATGTATCTTGACATGAAACACACTCAGTTATTCATCACAGGTCCTCAGTGAATGGCACAGCACAAGGATGGCCTGCATCTCAACTATTTTAGTATGCAAAAATGTACTGGAATATTGGGCCTGATTCTTCACAGCCTCACATTTTGTACAAATGTATGCTTTTGACACATGGTACATAATGCCTTAATTCAGACTAAGGAATGCTTTATGCTCTGCATTCTCATGGATGTGAAGCAAAACGTGAATTACTATTCCAGAAACAACCTAAGGAGGTACCGGAACCCCAGGACCTTGTAGGAGGGCAATCAAAGCACTTCAGTCATGGCATGACGCCAGTCACTTTCCTCCAAAAAGCTACAAACACAGCTTCCAGTCTAAGTAAAACTATCTTCAATGTGACAATATTTAAAAGAGCACCTTCTCCATGTTTGTCTGTGTACTGGAATGCTTGTACCAAACGAAGTGTTTCATCCACTGATCTTCCAACAGGAAGGTCATTCATTGTGATCTGTCGAAGGATTCTCTTATTGTCAATAATGAAAAGGCCTCTGTGAAAAAAAAATTTGTATGTGTTAGGAAAGAGAATTAATTATAGTGTTGTGTTTACGCACTATTTTATGTCTGCTGGATGGGAGGAATTTGATCTTTGCAAACACCATACAATACCCACTGCCTCAGAATACTGGTAACCTACTATTCTTTACCTGGATATCAGATGACCTGAGCTGAGGGTAAGGATACAGAAAGGGATACTTCTCTGCAGAACATAAAATAAGCTTTGACAGGCCCTGCCAGGGGATGCACCAGATGCTATGGAATTACAGGGATCCCAAAAGCCATTTTATGAAAGATGTACCTCTTGAGGCTATGAGGTAATCTTAGTATTGACTCCACTTGGACATTGGAGGTCCTTGAGCAACTGCAGTTCTGTGGAATCCGGCATATTTGCCCTGCCCTAGGTATCTGCTGATGACTGCTGTTAAACAGGATATTAACCTTGACCCGTGTTCTGACTCATTACGACTTTTTTGTGTTCTTCTATATTTATTTTGTCTCTTGGCCTGAATCCCCAAGTAAAGTCTGATCTCAAAGAAAAATTTCAAATAAATTTCAAATTTCAAAATAAAGTAGTACTACCCCAGCAAAAACTCAAGAGAACTGTAACCAAGTGAAATACCTAAGCGTATGTCCTTGATCTTCCAGATACACTCCGTAATCCTTTGAAATTTGATGTGTCAAATCTGAAAGAAGGGGAATCTTCATCGGTCCGAGTCCTCCTTGTTTTCGAGGAGTATTAATCCTTTGAAAGAAATGAGATACAGATGTATTTCTCGTAAAGGTTTACATTCCGTACACAAAGCCAGAAGTCATAAAGCAGAACAGTGCAGACAGAAGGATTTAGTGCAGGCGACATTTTTTTGTTCTGCATACAAAGGAGATGAACACTATTCACAGTTCGAGCAAAATGTTCAGCAGATCTTTTGCAGGTTCTGGCCACATCTTTCTTGTCAGTTACATTTGCTTTATGCCACTGTGCTCACAAATTGGGACAGTGTGAAGCATTTACAGATACTTGCATTCTCTTTTTTTTTGTATTTGTATTATTTTTTGAACTGAGACGTGACATATTTCAAGCAACAGAAATTAAACAAGCTTTAAAGATAAAGGTACTTTCACATACTAGGGTTAAAAATGTTTTTTTTAAACATTTGTGTCAACAGCATCACGCCTTCATATATTATGATATACTTACACAGGCTAAAAATCTGGGGACCACTGTTGCATAAGATGGATCCATGAACAATTTTTAGTGAAAGGCAAAAGTAAGGTACATACCATGCTAAGTGAGTGAATTTTGAGTCCACAGAACATGCTACTACTTCGGTATTTATTGCTCTGAATTCTTCAATTCTGTCACTGAAGGCGATTATCTCAGTTGGACAGACAAACGTACTAGAAAATTTAAGACACGATAAAGTCAAAATTTCATGAAACATCCGGTAAGTTCTCTGTTTAACTTAAAATGGTGGATTTATCATAAATTATTTCAGCTTTTGCTTATTTTCGTTGCATCTTCAAGTATTTAACTAAAATGCTGCCTGACAAATCTTCCACCCTCAGACTCTGGCTTAGTTACAAATGGTTTTTTACTGAAGATTATAAATCTACAGTTATCTTACAATAATAAACAACTCTGGATTCAGAGTTTTTTACAGTTACTTTCTTTTAGACTTTATGAATATTAAGTGGTTGAATTTAAGTACAATAAGCCAATTTTTCAGAGGGTGATACTATAATTTGTTGTTACCATGCATGTCTGCAAATTTTAATTAATTTGTCTTCAACTTTTTCCACTACAGAAGAAATAGAGTGGTAAAGGTTACAATTTATAGGGCTTTGAAGCTAATGATATTATAATAATAAAGTAGTTAAAGTATCATTTTGTGGAAAAGAATGGGATTGTCTCTCAGAAAGCAGAGATGTTTTCACTCAATCAGTAAATTTATTGCATTCTAATAAAGGAGGTTAATAGTTGTTATGGGATGAGCTTAAAGGAAAAATGCCCCCACTATATACACTCTAGAAAATACAGATGGGATGCTGCCTTCTATTTGCAGCAGTGATTTACAACATCAAACAGAACACAGAAGTTGCCTAAATGGGTTATACAAAGTTGGTTTTTTTGTGTGGAGAAACAAATTAGTGGACACACTTATTAGGACAAAGATTGTGTCACAATTTTACCAATGCATGATGAAAACACAAATGCAAAGAATATATTTTCTTCTGTCATTCTTTTCTTCTCTCCCAAATCCTTACCAAACAAAAATACAAGACCTCAAAAAAAGAGAAAAATTAATGAATTATGAATCAAGTGTAGCTGTACTCAGTCTTGGGATGTCTATTGTGGTCTTACTTACAAGTCAAGAGGATAGAAGAAGAAGACAAGGTATTTTCCTTCATAATCTGTTAATTTCAGCTCTTTAAACTCTCCATTGATGACTGCTGTTCCCTCCCAGTACGGTGCTGGCTTGGAGACTGAAATGCAAAAAACACTGAATTAAAAGTCGGAATATGAAGCCCATGTTCAAACCAAGCTGTCCAAGGACAGCTGCTCTTCCTTTTGCTTGAAAAACAACCTCCTGCACAAGTTACAAAGTGAAGCCGCTTTGCCGCTCTAATCAGCGATACAAAATCATGAAGAAATGTAGGTTTTAGTACACATGGAAAGTAAATAATTTGACCAACTTGTGCTTATACATGAGCCCTGTGAATCACTGATAATCAAGGCCACACAAACCTTATCTGGGCACACTGAACAAACCATGTGTGCACCACCAGCTGAAGGCAGAACAGCTGCTGGACTGAAGGGGAAGCCGATTAATATTTTGGGTATCCCCACTATTTTGTTATGAATGGCTGTTGTGAACCAGAAGCATAAGATGGTTCAAATCCATACTGTTAGTTTTTAGCCATGGAAAACTATTTGAAACTCAAGTCCCCAAAAAATGCTACAACGTGTCTGGAGACAAATGCCTGAAAATGTAGCGTATATTTATTAAATTACAAATCCTAAGCAAATTGTAACTTGAAGATAGCTGTGTTTAAAAAAAAATCAAGTTAAAATGTATGACATATATTTACTATTCTTATCATAAGGGATTAACCTCGAATTTAAAATATTAAAAATTAATCTGCCAGGTACTATTTTCATAGCCATGTGAATTCCAAGACAAAGGATAGGGTATGCTGGACGTACAAGGTCATCTGAATACACTTGTGATATCACGGACATTGACATGCAGCTCCATGAAATTAGGCAAATGCTTCTGAGAAAAACATATGGAATCTTAATTATTATCTTGATGCCTCTCCTTTTAGGACAACCAATTCACACTAGAATATGGTCAGTGAGAATGTATAACAAAGACCTCCAGATTAGGAGGGAGAAGGAAAAGAAATTTAATACTTTTTATCTTCATCTCTTCCTATATTAAGGTGATGGTTTTTGCGGTTATAAATGCCTGTCTATAATAACTTACATTGCAAAGGGAGGAAAACCCACACAGCGTTGATTACAAGTATCTTGGCCAATTTCCTTTTTTTTTTTTTTGTAGCATCTGCTTGCAAACGTTTAAAACAGAACTTATAGCCTGGCACAGAAAAGTATTTTAAAGCTGTAAATTCTCACAGTGAAGATAATTTCTGTGTGATCTCTCTATTCTCTGTTCTGCAGAACGGGATTTTTGGAAAGCAGGTGCCCCCTGAACGTCTCACTGCGACGTGATTGAAGGTGTTTGCACCCAGGTCTGCCACAAAGGCTTTAAATCACAAGAGAGCGCAGGCACGAGGTGCCCGTTCAGCGTTTCCCATCGCACCGAGAGCACAAACCACTTCTGTGCATTGCCCAAAGCGCTTCCCTTAACCCGTTCGCCATTCCCGGGAGCACGGGCCTCGCCGGACGCCCGTGAAACGCCAAACTCGCAGCCAAGTGCCCACGATGGAAATGCAGGCCTGGAAGGGGCTGGGGGAGAGACGGGAGCTCACCTCCCTCCCTCCCTCGCTCCCTGCCCGGAGGCCGCAGCGGGGCCGTGGGGAAGGGAAGGGCCGGGGAGCACTCGAGGCTCCGCCTGACGTGGCGCTGCCGCCGCCGCTCCCGCAGCGCACTGCGGGCACATCCCCAGCGTGGCCCCGCCGCACCCGCGCCCCCGGCGGCCCCGTCCCCGCCCGGCACCTACTCTTGGCCTGGCTGAGGTGCAGCGAGTGGTCGGACACGGGCAGCCGGGCCGCCTCCCCGGGGTACACCTGCCCTCCCGCGTAGTAATGGCACTGCTCGTCCCCGCGCTGCCGCGCCGGGCGCGGCTCCTCCGCCCCCGCTTCGCCTCCCAGCGCCGCCGCCGCCGCCGCCAGCAGCAGTAGAAGCCTCGCACGGCTCCGAGCCCCGGCCCCGCCGCCCGCTTCCATGTCCCGCCGAGCGACTGCACGTCCGCGAGGGGCGGCGAGGGGCGGCGGCGCCGCCGGGGAGGAGCTTGGCCGGCCCGCCCGCACTCGGGCCCGCAGCACCGCTGGGCCCCCGCGCTGAGGGACCGCGGGCGGGGGGGGGGGCGAGGGGCCGGGGCAGCGCCACCTCCTGACCGGGCACGGCCTCCCCCTGACCCGGCACAGCCACCCCCTTCTGTCACAGCCACCCCCTGGCTCGTCTCAGCCACTCCCTGGCCTGGGTGTGTAGAGAAAGAGAGAAAACAACACATGTGTGTGTGGAGAGCGCGCACACATGGTCCGGTGCGTGTGATTGCAGAAGGAAAGCATCGATATGAGAGGCTTCCTGCCTGGTATCATCTCTCTTATCTGTGGCACCGTGGGTTCTGTGGGCACGGCATCACTCGTGGTCGTACCCATCTATGCCAAGTGTGGCTTGTACGTTGTGGCCTCATGAACACAAAAAATGTGAAAAAGGTACTGCCCTGGGCCTGAAATCTTGAATTGCTGTGAGTTGAATTGCTGCCAGCTGGGCAGCAACTCACCCATGAACTACACGTGGCGCACGTGGTGGCTGTGTTAGGAGTGTGGTTACACAGAAATGAAATACTGAGTGCCTCAATTCATACAGTCATCAAAGGGTTTGGGTTGGAAGGGACCTTTAAAGGTAATTACCAACAGCCCTGCAATAGCAGGGTCATTTTCAACTAGATCAGGTTGGTATGGTATGTATGTAGGTATGTATGTATGGTATGGCACCTGTGCCAAAATGAGCAGTACAATTTCTCTCTCTTTTTTTTTTTTTTAGTGATACAGAACAAGTACATAAAGACCAGAGGCAAAAGGAAATGCTCTGGGCCATTTTTGATGAATACAAGCTCTATAAAAGAAGAAAGGGATTAGCGAGGCACCTGCCATTATATGTTGTGTCTTGAACAAATCCTACTATTTTTCTGGTTTCCTGCAAGAGAATCCACTCGTATCTGAAAAGAAGGATATAAAAATATCTAGGAAGATTTTTCACAAAATTAAATTTACAGGTCCTAAATCTTTGTTCGTGAAGCCTAGCCAAGATGAAATTTACAGGAGTGGGAGAAACATGATCTTGTGGGCATGCTTGCACTTCTTAACCTGTGATTTTACTCTTCCTTGCTCCCAAAGCTCTGACTTCTATCCAGAAGGTGTTCCTTTTCTTTCCCATCTCTTGTAATATTTTCCTTTAAGTTCCAGTCTAGGAACTTAAGTTCTGAGAAGTTAGGGATCATGCCATTCATATTCTTACTGTCACAATAATAATCTTCTTCGGGCCTATTTGCCCACCTGAAGGGTTTCAAGATTACTGAGGAGCAGAAGGGTAAGGCTCTGGAACAACCCTCTGACAATTATGGGAGCCAAATACCTGCATAGTTATCAGGCTTGATCAGCATGTGTGAAATTGCAAAAAAAAAAAATTAAATGCCTGCCTACAGGCAAAATCAACTTGATGGCACATGATATCCCCTTGTCTTGTTTTTTTCACACAGAGTTGATGGTGGCCATTCTCTGATTATATCTCCCAAAATGTTGGAAGCTGTTCTTTTCAGTGCTGCTGTTTGACTTCCCCTTCTCCCCTCCCCCCCAACCAAGGGCATGTCACTAAAAGGAGGATGAACAAAAACCATTTGGTCATGTTGAGCGCTCTGGCTGTGGTGGGAAACAGCACTTCAACAATCTTTGTACTCCCACTGATTTCAGATTGAGACAAGCTTTACATTTAAGCTTGCTAAAATGTGTTGATGGATGACTGTCTTACACGATCCAACTCTAGTAGCACTGAATTTAATATCAAGCTTTCCTCAATCTCACTGCTTGTAAGAAAAGTGACAGTCATGGCCTCTGTGAGTTCACGGAGGAAGTTAAATTGGTTGTCCCTGCTCTTCTTGCTGCTGTTTTGAGCCATAGGAAATGGCAGTGATTTGAAAAGTAGTCACACAGTGAAGCTGAAAAAAATGAGTAGTTCTGAAGTAGGCACTTTGCATAATGTTAACATCCCTCATTCAAAAGATATTCTGAAATACCTATAAATGAGAGAGAAAACGGGTAAAATCAATGCAGTAAAAATAGAACAAAGCAGTCCTCTTGTGAGCAGAGAAAATCCTGAAGGACAAAAATGGGTTTTATCTGCAGAATGTAATGTTAGTTTAATAGCTCTAATTTGAAGTTCATATGGAATTAAGTATATATAGACATGGAACAGAGTTCAAAAGAGCAACAAGAAAGACTTTCTGGCTGCTGCTGTACTCTCAAGACTTCTGCAAGTGATTAAAAAATGAAAAATTTCATAAGTGAAATCCAAGATGAAATCCAAATATATTATTACTCTTCAGTGTCTAAATGGAGAAGACAGGCAGCCTTCTTTCTTTGCCCAGTGATGAAATACTTGAACTGAATGCTGATTTTGGTGTTTAAATTGACAAAATTAAGTGATGCTGTTAAAGTGTGATGAGAGGAACACTGGGCTACATTCATCCTGCTGTACAGCTCTTCTGAAGTCAGTAGGGCTTACCACAGACACAGGGAAATCTCTTAAATCCTTCCTTTCCTCCCCTGTGCTACAGGCTGTGTTCCGCATGTCATGCCATATCCAGGCCCACAAGGATGGGTCAGTTTTGGCAAAGGGCTTGATGGTGGCAGGGTGTTGCTGCTGTAGTGGCAATGTAAGCAGATAGTGATTTAGGTCACTAAAGCAGTTTAGAAATGGTTATGGAGGTTTTGTCTGTTTTTGCTTGTAGTAATAAAACACCTCATTGTAATTTAAATTACCTAATATAACAATATCTTGGAAAAATTAGTGTAGTATATTGTAGCAAGATATCTGTCACCATTTCCTGGAACAGATGTTCAAGATTGTGCTGGTGAAACTAGCAGTTGGTTTTATCCTCATGGTTTACAGGGACATTTTAACAAATATATTGCATTGCTTGTCATGCATGACAGAAAATCTATAGCATAAGAAACTTTGCTGGAGAAAGCATCTGTTTTGTAAGCAGAATTGGATCAGAATGACCATAATTAAAATTACCAATTAGGGAAGTCTTCTCTTTGGCTTTTGCTAAGGCTAGACTGGTGGGGTCAGCTGTGTGTGCACCGACTGCAAAGGTTGAGAAGTGCTGGGTGGTGCCATTTGCTTTGACAAGAACCTCATCCTGACTTCTGACTGCTGCTAATGTCAGCTGGTGGAAGCAGTAAGGCTGAGTAAAGATAAATACAGACTTTGTAAAATCTGCCACTTTGTAGTGTAGAGGTAGCATAGATATATTTATTCCTGTAACCTACCTTTGGGGAATGTGCTAGTGTTTGGGGATGAATTCATGTTTTTCCTCTACAAACACACCTGCCATAGAAAAGTTCTGCTTCATTTCTTCCCTTCCTCCTCCAGCTGGCTCTGCTTCTTGTGGCATTGGTGTCAGAAACAATGCAGGGCCTGTGTGATAGGAACAGAACAGAGCACGTTAGTGATGTGTTTGACTGAACATGGGAAAAAAGGGTGGTTGACACTGCTAGTCATTGGGTGATGGGGGAGTGTGGTTTCTAAAGCACCTCCTGTTCCAAGCTTTCTTCTGCTTCTGTAAATGCTGACAGAATCTATGAGTTTGTGAATATAAACAAACATTGTGAAACCACTTTCTTGACTTGATAAATCACGTAGTCCTTGCAAGGCCCCATCAGTTTTCCTTTGCCTGTCACCTGGGGCGGGAGGGGGTTTTCAAGTGTGTTTACACTCTATCCCATTTTTTTCTTCCTTTAACAGGCATGTATTTAAAGAAAGTGGCCAAAATGTCTCTGTGCACTAGCACATTTTTGGGGCAGTTGTGAGGACAGAGAATGTCAGCTCTGAACACCACCTGTTAGACATAAGCTGTCCTCTACAAGTCAGTGAACTGTGAAGGACAGTTGAGGTATTGCACCAGAAAACCAGTGCTGGACGTCTGGACATACCCTTGGCAACATGCTGATCATGTGCCCTGAGACCATCACAGCTAGGAGCTTGCTATCCAAAATAACCCATCTAGCTTTGTCTGGTGTTGCTGACCAAGAGAGACCTTCACCCACAGAGTAGTAACCCCATTGTGCCAAGTGTAGTGATCTCCATCAGTGACATTCAAAGGGGTTCACAGGCTCCTGCTCTTGGGGTCCCACCTGTGGTTCTGCCTTCTCAGGTCTGAACTTAGACTAGCAAACTCTGGTCCAAGTCTTGAGCTCAGTCAGATTTTGGGAAAAGGTGGAAAATTTGCCACCTCTGCTTAGACAAAAAGCAGAGCTAGGTCCTGCCCTCGCAGGTGCCTGACTCATGGATAGAAAGAAGCCCTGTGGCAACCCAATTTCATATTCTCTCAAACCAGAACTCAGACAGATGGTGCTGATGTTTGTTGGTGATGCCTGGGTGTGTCTCTTCTGTGGGTAGCCACTAAAGCCTTGCTCAAGCTTACAGGTGTGCTACCTGCCTTGCATTTCCACAGCAACTGAAAATTGAATATATGGCTGTTGTCAGGTAAATATGCCCTACTGTCTGAAGCGTGGGTGATCCCATCAAGATCTGTGGAGGAGAGAAGGCTGCATTCCCAGGATAGTGGGATGACATGGTCTTAAAAAATTTCCAACTTGCCTCCTTATGCTGGACTGCCTGCCCCTCTTCAGTATTATCTTGCAAAGCTTTTTGTAGTATCTATTTTCTAGCAGTGTTACATACCTAAATTTGCCTTTGTTTTCTGTTTGGACTTATGAAAGAGAAAAATGGCTTTTGGTGAAAAATATTCATGCACCTTGATGTGTTAGTTGCTTTTACATTGCTCACTAGATGGCAGTAAGATGCTTGTTATACTAATTAAAAAAATTGAACTAATGTATTCTCCAAGTGTCTGAAATTTCCTAAAATCTGAGGATATGGCATTTTCTTCTCTAAAATACAAGGTCCACAGGTGTAGGAAATGTAAGTAGAAATCTGTATTCAATCCTCATAAACAACCCCTGTTCATGTGAGCACATTATGATAATCAAGCTCACATAATTTTTCAGTAGAATGTTTACTCTATTGTGCCTTTCAGAGTGAGTATGATGG